TTTAACCCGCCGCAAAGGTTAGTTATGTTCATATCATAGATTTTCGTGCGCAGCCTGGATAGGGGAGAATCACAGTAATCATTACCAGATAACACGCTTTCTTTAGCTCTTGCATGTATGTCGATCATGCCATAAATATTTGTCAAGGACCTTATCTTCGGTGTTTCCGATCAGGATGAATTTTGTAGACCGATCCGACGTCAAAGCCCATACACCTCCACCAGTTTTAGGCGTCATTCATGTGGGGAGAAGATTACGGAACACATAAGGACGTTTGAAACCAATTTTTCAAATGAAGCGGATGTACTGCAAGAGCTGCAAATGGCAAAGCTTTGTCGAATTTTCTGCACGTTATGATGCCACAAACAACTTTTGTAAGCCACTTCAGCTTTCATTTGGCAAGAGTGCTTTGATTTTGCTTTGCGTGTATCAAGTAATTTATCATCTTCTTGCGATCATCAAGTAATATTCAACGATCGGTAACCATTGATTGATAAAATCAATTTCTTTGAAGTACAGTTTTTGAGCAGTCTTATCTTTTAACTGCTTGAATTAAAAGCCTCGCAGCTTGACTTACCTGTTGACTCCTACTGAGAGTGCGGAATCTAGAGAAAAGCGAGCTGATGCAGATCAGTTTGGAGAAGGAAAAGATTTCAACACTGAGTGAGTCAGATTCGAAGTTCAAACTCTTTTTTTTTTTGTCGCTATTGCATTATTGTGATGTCCTTTTGTTCCCTCGCAAATTCATATTAAATCAAATTCCTCCTGTTTGTAGTCTGGCTTCAAAGACACATCGTCTGTTCAGTTTACATAAGCTCTGTGTTATGCCCGTCAAAATGGAAAAAATTAAGAGCCCAAATGTCAACATTCAAAGTTTACTTTTCGCCGCACAGACCTAAAAGCAATCTGACATCGATGTTTGAAATGAGAACATATTATGGAGGAAGGGTTTGCCAAATTCACCTAACACCTTAAGTGTACGAGCACGGTGAAAGCATTCAAGTGTGAGAAAATAGGATACTGGGGTCGGAAAAGAAAACAAACAGTGCCTTTACATTTTAGATATTTACCAAGGTTCATCATAACAGACTTGTCTTTACTGGAGTAAATATCTGTCTGACAGAGATCATGTTTAGTCTGATTTTGCATTGCTGGGACCTCGTCTGAAGAACAAGGATATCTTTTTGATTTTTCAGAGATGAAAATTTTCAACTAACTCATAATAAAGAGAGATTCGAACAGACTTCTTACTATAGTATTTCTCGCCTGAACCACTGTAATAAGGTTGAATTCACAAACAAGTGTGATAAGAAAGTAAATTGGTTTCTAAGCCTATTCATCTCGACAATAAGATTTCATCTCTATGCAATTTTTGATAGAATTATCATATTAGATTGATCTTTACCCTTTATTGCTGCAAGTGTTTAAAATTAAAAAGCCTTTTAAATCTCGTTGTTCCACCAAAAGCTTAATGTGAATGTTTTCTGTCCCTTTATTGATAGCCATGGAGTGTTGACCTTAATTGATTTAGCAGTTTAAAATCAGTAATCAAAGAAAAGGTTTAAATTAGCTTTTAAGGTATTTTGAGCCTTTGGGGTTTCCGGAAACCAATTATTACCTAAGCTACGAAAGCACTTGTTGACCTCGAAGTCATTTCCATAGCTGATCAAAACAGAGATTATCTCGTCGCAGGCTGAGCTTGTTCAAAGATAGAGAACGAGTAAAATGTCTTTGAGTATCTGGAGACTTTATTGAACGCAGTACGTTGAGGAAGTTGGTCCATTTTTCTAAGTTCCTTTCATTATCAATGTTTGTATTTATTCAGTTATGCAGATGAGGTTGACGTTTAGCTTTTGTTTCGCTTCTTGTTCACACAGGCGCATCAAAGGCACCGGTGGTAGGTATTCAACATGTCTGAGGCAGGAAATATCACAGGTGCTCCCCCTACTGGCATAAATCCTACGCCGAATAGCATCGTTGCAGCTGTTTTCGTCGGTATATTGATCTTGGTGACTCTATTTGGAAATGTTCTCGTCTGTATCAGTTTCTACACTTTTCCCAACCTCAGGACGATCTGTAACTATTTTATTGTTAGTTTAAGTGTGGCAGATATTTTGGTTGCTCTGCTTGCTATGCCGTTTTGGCTCATTGTTCAGCTCAACAATACACTGTGGCCATGGCCTCGGTTAAAAGAGGGGTTGTATTTCTTCTGGAGCTTCATCGATATTTTCTGTGGTACAGCCTCCATTATGAATCTTACAGCGGTCAGTATCGATCGAATGTTGGCAATCGTGACACCTTTTAAGTATCCAAAGATATTAACTACGAAGAGGGTCTTAATTATCCTCGCACTGGTTTGGTTGTACTCAACGACCATCGCATGTCTACGACTGGCCAATTGGCAAAGCTACGGCCTTTTTGCGGCCTTTGCAAGTTTCTTTCTTCCCTTGTCACTTGTAATCGTGATGTACACTGTCATCTTTATTGTTGTCAAAATCCAAGTGCACAGAATCGGATCAGCTGGAGGGAAGGAACACGCTAACGAGATGAAGGCAGCAAAGACCATCTTAGTTGTCATTGGCGCTTTCGTCGTTTGCTGGCTTCCATTTTTCGTTATTGTGGTAGGCCATGCAACAGACAAAAACTTTACTTACCCCATGGAAGTTTACAACATGTTCAAGTGGATGGAATACTTAAATTCGTGTTTGAACCCTGTGATATACACTTGTATGAACCGCACATACAGGCGAGCATTCAAGCGACTCTTTAATCGGGTTTATCTTGAGCAAACTGTAGGGAACAGCCGACGGGGTTCCTCTGTCAGTATGTACCTCAGTAGACGAGGATCTGCGATCAGTGGCTACATGAGCCAACGTAAGCATCGTGGATCTATCGCCCATACTGCTGTACCCAACATGGAGGCGATCGAAAGTGAAAGTTAATGGCATAATTTTTTCTTGGTCTCCTGGTCTTAACGGTGGAAAGATGAACTACGTGTAAATATTTCCGAAAAAAATTCAGCAGTAGCGCTTTTCATAAAAAAAATTTCCTGTGTTAAATTTAACCATAGTTAACTTCTTCTGTAAACAAACCTCTTCAAATATTAACTACCAAATGGAGTCGCGACATTTGAGAGAAATGAGCTTTATTCGACGAAAGTGAAAAATAATTCAGTGGGAAATTGCATAATGACCACCACATTCACAAATTTGTATGCGGTGCAGACTCCAAAAGGCTTTAGTTGTAAGCAGAAGACCACGAACAATGCTAAACGCGCGAACAATTGGACTTTGTTTACGAATACCAAAGAAAAGAAAAGAGTTACTGCTCTGGCTACCATAAGGAATGTGACAACTAGAGTATCCAAAATTTAAGATGGAATCTACGATATAATGTGACAGTAGAAGGATAGGATAGAAGTCTTGTGGGTAAATTAGAACATAGTTGTTGACCATAATCGCAGAATTCTCTTAAATTAATTTTGTAGAAATGTGAGGTTATTACACCTCCTCCTACTCCTCCCATCCACAATCACAGATTTTCCGTGTAAAAGCGAGCTAAACTTGGGTTGGCCGATCCTTTTTAGAAGCCGAAAATAAGAACAGTTTTCATTTTAAATCAAATCAATGGTGTACTGTTGAGCAATTCGACAGGAAGTTGTTTAACAACAAATTAATCGGCCTGATCATTAATTAATTTTGCCTTAAGGCTTATCAAGTACTTGTCACCTTATTGTTTTACATGAATAAACAGATTATCAAGGGCAATTTTTAACGTCTCTTTTCCAGTGTTGAATTTGAAGTAACCAATTCACACATTTATGCAAGGATTCCTCCTGGCTCCATTTTGAAAACTACGATTGTTCGAAAGGTCTTTCAGTTTCGAAGCTAGCTTCCTTTCGCACCTCCTGTCGCAGGAGGGCGCAATTAAAACTGAGTGGAAGATGCAAATAACAGATCTACCTTAAATGAAATGCATAAATGGTGTGTTGAGCTTACTCCTAAACAATCACACCGTATAAACAGTGTGCCAATTATACTGCTAACCAGGTCTACCTTCTAATCTTAGTTCTCACTCTGGTTATTCAATTCTTGCTCAGCTGGGATTTTCATTTAAGGGGTTAGTATCCTACGTTTTAGATATCAGCCCTTACTATTGAAAGTTGAGTAAAGAATAGTCGCTCTTAACAGTCGATAATTTATGCACATTTACGTTGCTAATTTCCTAGGCTATAGACGAAGGCCAAAGGCTAAGGATTACTGAGAACCTCGCTTATATGCACGAAGAAACTTCGAGCTTGGTGAGAGTTATGTTCTACCTTAGATGTATTTGCAGTTGCAAACTCGTGACCAGGACTCAAACCTTTAAAATCAGAAGCAACTATGTAGCTTTCCCTTTTTTTTGGAATGTCTAACGGGAAACAGATGATGAGAGCAGAAAACCCGCTATGTCCCAAAGGGTGTTATGTGGAACAGTTCTACATTCATGAAACTATGTCAACTACTAGGAAAGATCTCTGATCAGATCCTAATAGTTAAAGTTTTGACGATGAAATCCCAGTACATCGCTTGGGTTCTAGTCAGAAGAGTAACGGGCCAAGTTCAGATAAACATCTGCGGTAGATCGATGTTCTTATTCTCTCTAAAGAATAGTCTGGCTGGCGTCCATCGGGTCACCTCATAGAACTTTACAATATCATTTCTTTTATAATAAAGCACGTGAAAATATTACGCGCTTCTGGTTGGCTTACAACGAATGCATTCTCATTAACACGTGTGTAAAGTTTTGACACAAATGCAAATTACAAATTGCGCGCGCACGCTTTCAAAATTTCGTCTGTCTTGACTTTCTGTAAAGTTCTTTTATGTATATTATTAACAAGTAAAGACATGATTTCGAGTGCTATTTGGTGTTAATATGGAGTTGAAAAATTTACTCGTGCTTATTAACAGCAAATTGCACTCGAAATCATGTTATTACCTATACTAATATTTTGTTACAATCGTGTATACAATAGTATAATGTTTTTTGAGTACTCTTGATGAAGCAGGGTAATGAACAACGTCCATGAAAGCCGTCTGTGACTCCAACATGTGGATACTGAGGATTCAAATGTTACACGTCTCCGTCTGCAACCAGACTTCATTGACTATGAAAATATATCTCTTCATTTCACTGATTTACAGGGTTTGATTGGAGTATACCATGCGATGTAAACCAAGCTGGACCTGTTTTGCATGCACTTCTTTACAAGCACTCTTTGCAGAAAAGTACTCCGACTTATCTCTGAGAACTTCCCAGGGACCCCAAAAACTATTAAAATTTTTTGGATCTGCTTTCGGGCTGATCATTGGATAAACAACTGGCAGCGCCGTGCTGCGGTAGTAGTTAAGCCTCTCTTCCAACTCCTGAACCTTGTGTGGATAGACATCTGACACATCTCTGTATTCACAAGGGTCTGAAAAACGAGAATAAATACCACCTCAAAGGTTTACCGAAAAGGGATAGAAATAGGTTTCGATTTAAAGCTGTAACTTGTGATCCTTGAGGCGTTCATTGTGCCGGAGTGGGGTTAAGGGTCAAGAAACTTGTCAGACTGGGTTGGGGAGGGGGGAGGGAAGAGAAGTCCACCGAGGCCGTGCTACCCTCTGAAATCATTCTGTTCTTGTTACTATAAGTAAACAAAAGCGTTTGATAACTTAACTGGTTTAAGACACACTCCCTTGAAGAGTGTGATTAGTTTGTTATTTCAGAACATTCACTTAAAATTATCATATTTGATTGGTTCTCGCAAAAAAACGACCTTTTAAAATTGGTGCTCTTAATGACGATGAACCAGAATTGCGTTCCACACCCTCCCCTCCCCGCCGTAACTATCGCCTCTTTTGGCGGGAGTTCTAAGTAAGCCGCGGTGACAAGCCGCGGTGACCAGCCGCGGTAGTTTTTCAAACCTGCGAGAGACTTGGAACACATTGCTAATGCAAGCTCTACCTCAAAGTTTTTGTTGAGTGGAACTTGGCTTTTTAATTCACTGTCACATTCTGGTTGCCTTGCTTAAGATCTAATTGAGGACTGTTCTTGCTCTTGCTAAGCATATTATTATTGTTGTCGAGTTGACGACTATTTTGTGAACGCTCGCTTGATTTCATAATGGACTTCAATTCAGAGCAGGCGTCTGCCGGCCCGCTGAGAAAGGTTAGAGTTTGTTTAAAAACGTAGCTATCATTGCGAAGAACGATACATCAGTTGAATATATATTTACATTTAAGCCTTTGAAAATGAATCAAGATTCATTATTTATATCCCACTTTGCTACATGCTTATGTCCAAATTCACGACACGGGCAAATGTAGTTTTTTTCATTTCACCCACTGATTCTGGCCAATAATTTTGTCCTGTTTTCTTTACAACTCAGTGAAGTCAATGTGTGGCAATATTTGAACTTCTTTAGTTATATCATGATCAACCAGCAGTCGGCAACCGTTTGACCTTTATGCTAATACTTGTATTTACAAATTAGTATCATGGGTTACTAAGGGTTTTTCGCAAGTATAATTATGTAAACATCTTTGAGACGTTTTAGATTCGAGCGCATTTTTTTGCAATATTTTATTAAGGTATAGGAGGACATTTGCTGTTTACATATCCTCGTATAATAACACTCAAGAAGATGGGGAATTCTCAAAAGCTATTCAAACCCGTGACTTTGTCATGGCTTTGCATAGCCATCCGCCATTGATTCGGCCAATCACCCTTGGGTTAAGATGAGGCACTCACCATGTAAACGTGGAAAAAGTTCAGCATCACTTAACCCTTTTACTGCTTAGATTTGATTGTTAAATCTCAGCCCTCTAGCTGCTTCACATTTCCTTGCATATTAGTAACAAGAATTTGGTGTTACATCAATATAGCAACTTCTACATGATAAGTTTGAGCATTCTCATCATTTTTCTACTTGATAATCATTGGATATTATAAGATGAAGATACATGTTAGTCACCTCTGGTAGTTAAAGGGTTGAATCTGATGTTCAGGCATTCACTATGTAAACTTGGAACAAGTTCAGTATTGGTTGAAGTTCACCCTTTAACCTGTTAACTCCCAAGATCTCATTAGTAATTCTTCTTACTGTCTGCTATACAATTCATATGATTCTAATTTGGAGAATTTGGTATTGGATCAACCAATAATCCCTTAATTGATATTTTCTTTATTCTCATTACTTGTCTGCTTGATATTGTACTGATAGTGTAAGGATAAATTCTGTCTAGGTCACTAGTGGGACTTAAAGGGTTAACTGCTTAGATTTGATTGTTAAATCTCAGCCCTCTTAAGCTGCTACACATGTCCTAGTAAATTAGTAACAAGAATTTGGTGTTACATCAAGATAGCAACTTCCACATGATAAGTTTGAGCATTCTCATTATTTTTTTTTTCTGGATGATCTTTGGATATTATTGGATGCATTAAGAGACATGTTAGTCACCTTTTGGGGTTAAAGTATGAAATGTAATGTAAAAGCAATGTAGAAATGTAAATGTAAATTGTCATTGTCGGTGCCCCATATTTAACCAGGTGGTTTTTCAGTGAAAACCCCATCAGAACAAAAAAATTAAGGAAATGACACAAATAAGTGGTCAAACATTTTAAGCAGAAATATAATTTGATGGGCAACATTCTAGTTTGGGGTAAAACAACAGTTCATATGCGAATGTCATTCAGTATGGGAGTGGCACTGCAAGTAACATTCTTAAATCATTATTATAATGAGAAACTATAAAACATTGAAAGCATAAGTATTGCAATAGCCTGAATTTCATTTTATGAAGGATAGCCTCCTTTTGGTGCAAATATGCACCAATATTTTTCTAAGGAAAACTTAGAGCTTCAAGAAACATATAATTTTCAAGGACAAATATACAAAGTGGAAAATATTTGGTCATGTGATACATTTAGATCAATTACACACAAGCAGAAATGGTTGGTGGTTTATAACTCAGTACATAAATTATATAGTTATGTATTATACATGTACACTTTTTTTCCTAGCTTGTGGCTAATTGTGGAAACTCATCTTTGAGAGAATTTTCACAGTCTGTTTTCAGTTTTCTCCACCAAGTGGATGTGATTCTACCCTTTTGTGTTAGTTGATTATCTCATTTGCAATAAAATCCTTGCTTTGAGATCTGTGTTAGGATATGAGACTATTCAATGATTTGTAAAGGAGGTGAGAAAGAGGTTTCTGGGAAAAAAGGAAAAAAGGAAAAAAGGAAGCTGGCCAAAGGAGTAAATTCTCTTTTGGTTTGTGTAATAGGTATATCTTAAAAAGCTCAGTTTAATATTTTTAACTCAGACTCTTTTTTAGGGAGACAGATTGATTTTAGCATCTCTTCATCTTTCTCTTAGATAGATTAACCAATATTGGTAATATTAATTTACAGTGATGTATTTTCAGAAGCCACTTATCTGAGAGTGCATGAACTTTCTAACTGACTTTTTCCTCAACCTATGCATATTTTTGTGGGAAAAAAGTTAAAAAAAATTAAGGCCTCTCTTTTGCTATATTTGGTGAAAAAAACTATAGGACAGGTTCTCTGGTTCACAACTCAAAGTGAATATTGTCAGTGAAAATATTCATATTCATTCATTGTGGCAGGTGTGATTTTATCTAATTTGACAATAAGAGAATCTGTGATTTTCTTAGTGATAGGCATACACTAAGAGTAGGTATACAGCTTTGAATACAAAAGATTAAAAAAAGGGAAGAGATTATTTAATTGTTTTGTGTTTTTTTTGTGGGTGATGATAATACTTGGTTGTGTTGATTATGAAAGACAAGCCTTATTAAGTTTACTTCAAGTTCTTCATCTTTACCTCATTACATGACCAGCTCCAAAAGGGAACTTATTTCCATGCCAAAAAAAAAAAATTTCACTGTAGGGTTCCCCAAAGAGTGGGCAATGAAAGTCAGGTAGTATACTTACCTTGTGCTTAATCTATGGTGACTAAAAATGCAAGGGAAGTACATTTAATTCATATGAGCAATATTGATTGATGTCCACATCAACCACTCTCATCTTAGGAAAAAGGATCAATATTCTCTTAGTTATTTTAAGATGTTTATCATGCAAGAGATAATGCTTACGTGAGCATGATTTAGGTTCTTGTCTCGAGATTTTTAGTCATGTCGTCGGTGAGATCAAAAGAAGAAACATCAGGATTACACACTGCAAACAGGTTGTAAAATGTTTATCACTCAAATAGCGGTGTTCGACTATGCTGTCAACTAGACATCTATTCCTTTTTTGCTTGATTCTCTGAACTTTTCGACTCTTTCAGCAACAGAGTTTTCAACATGACCGAGGGAAGGAAGGGGGTAATTTTTAGTGTCTTTTGTTTCTGTTTGCCTTTTTTCATCTGTTTGTATAAACAAGGTTCTATTAACCGGAAATAAGTATTTCTTGAAATCGTAGATCACAAATACATATGCATTTGTAAATCTTTTGAAAGCCACGCATGTTTTACACAATGTAGTAGCGGGCGTCTTAATCAAAATTAGTTCGTTGGTTAATTGCCATTGTTTTCTTACCGCTTTCAAGGTCAAAAAGACAAGCTTTGTGATGCTTTGAGTCGCACATGCCTTTGCCATTCGTCCACGGGCCACAGTGGATTTCTGCTCCAGGAAGTGTTGGATTTGCCTCCCAGGGAGGAGGATGTTCCGTCGGGTACCTCGCGTGCCATCCTAACTGGTACGTGTCATCCATCCCAACCACAAGTTTGAATTTGCCTTTGCGGATGGCTTCAAAATTTCGTCTGTGCGTAATAATGATCAAGGTGAGAATATTGGAGCTTAGACGGTAAACAAGTTAAAATGATTATGGGTCGTGCTGTATGAAATTGTAATTATATAACTGATTGGTCCACATCCCAGAAAATCGGGTAATTGAGAAGCACGCTCAACAAACCCGGCTGTCGGCCGACAAACAGCCGACATTCGTTTGAGGGGAGCTGTTCACAGTTACCGAGAATCGAGTTTTTGATCCAGTTTTGCTCACTTTTTTATCACAAATTGTTCACCTTTAGCTCTACGGTAGCAACGTATGAGGCGACTCGCCTTATCTGTTGCTATCGAAGATCTGAGCAACTTATCTTCTCTGAGAGAATACGAAGGTCTGTTAAAACACTTAGGTTAGAAAATTGCTGTTCGATCGCCGATTTATCCGTCGAGAAAAAACGTGATTATTCGATGGGAATAATCATGACTCCCGACAAACATTGTGGAATGGATTGGTAGAGTATGAGCACTGCTTTAAACAACATGTGAACTGCCCAACAGTCATCAAGGCTATACTGTTTGTTTTGTTGTTTTTAACGACGCGCTATGTAGAGGATTATTTGCAGAATGCCAGTCTATCGCTGCTTCGCCGTTTATTGTACTGAAAAGGTAGAGACATTGTCATTTTGGTCCAAAACACAACACAATGAGCCCGCGCAGCGAACAGTGCTGGAACCCAATACTATTCTCTGTGAATTTCCTTTAGTATTTACAAGGTGAATTTGTTTAGCCATCAAGAACTTCTTCTGTTCGTAATAATTTCCTTTATTCTCGTGATCTAAATGTTTTTTTTTCTGGGCAACACTGAGAAGAAGTTAGATGCGTATCACCCTTAAGGGTTAACGGGTCAAAATCGTAAGAAACTGTTATGTTTTGCCAATTGAACCTCTCTGTCATTCTCTTTTCGTAAGCTGATTGACCTCAGAGGTTTTTGCGATGAATAGAATGATTCCGGCACCCAACTCTCATGCCTCTATTTGCAACTTAGCTGATCGCGCGCTATTATTATGTTGCTCTGACCACGTTGCAGTTCACTGATCCTGACACTAATGGTCAAGTGTAAACTTAACTTTTCACCCATACTGCAACAGCACAAGTCAATCAGCTATTGGAAGTGAATGGTGTCCGACCTGCCACAATTTTTTTTAAGCCAAATCAAATCCCGTATGGGCCTGAATTTTTCCAGGTCTTATTTAAACTACTAGTTCAGTTGTGTTCTTAGCTGCGAGGATCTCTTATATTCGTTTCTTCACCGCAGTGCACATATATGAATTTCATATATCTAAAATCATTATATTCGTACTTATTGTTAAAATAAGGAAATGTCTAAGGCTTACCTGGGGTCTATATTATGCAACACTTCATCCCGAGGTGATGGTGCGTCGTTCGATATCGTCTCCCAAACGTTCTTTCCGTCAGTCCTGGCCGATATAAGCTCTGCATCACCTCCCCCTAAGTGGTATAGAGTCGCTGCCCAGTCTGTTGCATCAATCAGTCCGGTGCAAACACGGTTTTTCTGCTTGATGAGATCATTAGCAGTGTAGACAAAACCAACACCTTTCACCCCACCCTCCCACAGGGTGTCTTTGCCTGCCCGGAAGGGGAAGTTTGAGCCAGCATTCCTATTCCAGAAACAAAATCTGCCAGTTGACAAGGAACCGAACGTAGTAATAGCTAACAACTAATTCTTATTTGAAATTACACGTGATGGTTTGAAATGTTTGACATTAAGAGAAAAGAAATCTACCACGAACTCAATTCATGGACTCCATACACTGTCACTTCGATTACCGGTCACTTTTCCGACATGTCAACACGCCTACATTTCAACTTGCAGACAACCAACTCGCCAACACCACTTGTCAACTTGCCACCTCAGGTTAACTCGCAAACACCAGTGGTCAACTCACCGACGTCAATTTGCCGACAACTTTGGTCAACTCGCCGACACAAATCTTTGTTTACTCGATTTGTGACGCTAAAGAACTGTTATGTCCTCTTTGAAAACGGAGCTAATATTAATTTACATTCGATTTGATAATTGTTGTAAATTTTCTTTTAATTGTCCAATGTCGGGTTCAAAGAATATCAAATGTTTAAAACTTTTTGCGAACCACACCAGTAGTAATGATTAGTGGATGTAATTACCAGTTGAATCCATAAGGAGCTCCACCGTTGTCAGTGGTGAATATGATGACAGAATCCTGTAGCATTCCTTTATCTGCGAGTGCCTGCTTCACTGCTCCAACCGATTCGTCCAATGATGTTACCATGGCAGCGTATTTTTGTCTTCTTTTGTCTTTTATAAAACTGAATTTCTTAGGAAAGACCGTAAATAACTGATCATTGAAACAAATTTTATGATAGATGTATTAATATTAATCATTAAAAATTGAGAGAATACCCATTAAATTTTATTCCCTAAAACTAATAATATTAAATAAGGACAACTTAAGCTGATTTAGTGCCGGTATGGTGTTTTTTTTCTGATGGACCTAAATAGACTTCACATATTTGGTTAAAGATGCAACGTATAATAGTCTGGTGAATAAAAATAAACCTATAGACATTGTGTCTATAGGATAAAAACCTTGTTTAAAATTAATTTTAGTATGCTCGAATCAGATGATGTCTACGTTTAATGAATCAAATTAGTATTTAGCTGGTTCTATTACCTCAATAAGATGTTTTGGTGCCTGCAAAGGATCGTTCTTATTGGCTGAATGCGCTGCTTGGTGAGCGAGGTACAAAAACATTGGTTTAGAATTGTCGTGAGCATTGATCTTTTTTATGGCCTCATGGGTAAAGAGATCCGTGGCGTAGACTCCATCTCTTCTGATTGGCTGGAGCATGATAGAATAATGACAGTTAAAGTGTAGTGACAAAAATCTACTTATTAGGATCGGAAGATATCAAAATCTTTCTTACTGTTTTTGCCACTGCCTCTTGGTTTTACATAAGCTAAAATGGTTAGCATTCAGTGGGAAATTAGAGTGGCATGTAGAGGAGAACGATCTATTTTTCGTTTGACTTTTTTATTTCTGTTCAAGTCGTATACTTTGCCTTTGCCTACCTTCTCGTTATCTCGAAGATCATAGCCCCAGTAATCCTCAAAAGAGCTGTGATCCCAGTAATCCTCTTTCGCACCCAAGAATCCGAAGAAAGAGTCGAAGCCTCGGTACAAAGGTGTATACTCCTTAGTGAAATATCCAAGATGCCACTGTAACGAAAAAGAAAGTTAGGCCTCACTTCTTATCACCCACCATTCTCTTATCTTTCAAGTACTAGATGAGTTCAAAGCGAGCAGAACATAGAACTGTCGTAAATAATTTAAATGTCGTGTAAAGTTTATGGTACAAGCTTATTTGAGCTGTACCCTGCGTGTTCATTACACAACTAGAACGCCCAATCAATTAAGTTTGACACGTGTATGCTGTGCACTTGCGTACTTTTCCAACCGCGTGAGTCTGGTAACCCAGGGATTTGAGATACTGCGCTGTCGTTATTTCCTTCAGCGGAAGACCATAAGGCTGTGCGGCGAAGATAACGAAATGTTGAATACCTAATGACGAGGGAAGAGACATTTCCATGAGCTTTGATTCCCAAAATTATTTTTAACGCTAACTCAGTTTTTTTTTTTGGATGAAGCGACTGTCTTGTCTGATCTAGATCTAAATTATACTTACTATAAGGATCCACAGTTACTTGTTAACAAACACGTGTTATGATAAACTTTGTTTGCAAAGTCGCAAAAGACATAACATCACCTTGCTCCTGTAGTTGTCAATTTATCTATGACCTTACTTTTAATCTATCATGCATCATTTTACATTATTCTGTATTGCTTTGATTCATACGTTTTGCAAATCAGTCAGTTATGTCGGCATATATATATATATATATATATATATAGTATATATAGTAACGACCAAAGAAAACTGTTTGAGCTGCTCATGTTTATCTTACCAAGATGGATGGGGTGTTTTCCAGACATGATTGACGCTCTAGTCGGAGTGCACATCGGAGACACGTAGTAGTTGTTTAATATGACGCCTTCGTTGGCAAGTGCGTCAATGTTTGGTGTTGGAATTTGAGGGGAGCCATGGAAACCTACATCATCCCAACCCTAGAAATTCAATGTGGTTTAGAAGGCTTAAAAACTACATCATCAGGATATAAGCTCTAGAGTATGATTTACGACATCTTAATTATCTTTAATTATTCCTGAGACGATACTGCGGTGATTTTAAACCGCACTCAATCAATCGATTGCAGAGGTCATCTTCAGGTGTCTATGTTAACCCCACCCCACTCCCAAACGAAATACGTGATTTCAGTCACTGGCCTAGGAACTGACATAGTAATTGAACGGTAAGGAAATAGTTATGAGGAGAGCATCTGTTATATCGTCCAAAATCGATTAATTCCCTTGAAAATGGTCGAGAAATACGTGGACTTGAAGTAGTTGACAAAAAGGCTTTGAGTGTTTACTTTTTAGGTCTTTCTAATGTTTGATACTTGCCAAATCGTCTGCCAGAATAAAAATAAGATGTGGTTGTTTCTTTGTAGCTCTGCAAATTGATATTAACATACCGAATAGGCAAGGTAACCTGGAAAGCAAAAGGAGGAGAGATGTTCAGTGACACTAATTAATCAGAATCAACTAAGACGTTGGCTGTCATTTTTTCTTCTTCTATCTGCTTTATGTGAACCTCTGTTTATATTTAAGTCTTGCCCATAAACAACTGAAGCAGCTCCCCTGAATTATAAGTAACCCCATAGGTCCAGAATTCACATGTTTCATACGCACATGCGCTCTGATTGATTGGGGAAGAGTTATTTTCGAGATGCTAAAAGATATAATTTTCTGTAAAAAGGCCATTGTTTTACGCCTTAGCCAACAAGAAATTTTTCGTCGTAACCTCGATCTGCATGTATGTAAAATCAAATGAATCATAGCAATTTTGAGAATGAACGCCATCTTAACCACAACAAAGGAATTATGGTTAGAATGAAATATTAAAATCATACCAATTTTTCTTACTTTGTTCACTATTTGAGGCAATTTTAGCATTTTCCTTATTGAACAATCATGAGATCTCTATCGAAGGCAGGCGTTTGTTGTAGAATTTATGATCTGAGTTCACGTTCACAAGAATTCGGCCACCTCTTGTGCAAGCGATAAACAAAACTTAGGTAGGTGTTAATGCGCGTTGGCTTTTTACTACAAATGGTTCGTAGTTATACTTATGTGTTTCTAGAAGCAGTTAATGTTTATGAAATATAGAGTAAATCGTGGTATTTGAATAGTTCTTTAGACGAAATATCGAATCGTTTACTCAGTAAGAATACAATCAGATCAGTTATAATCAGGCAAATTAATCCGCCCAGCCCTCTAATTTTGCGAGGTGTCACATACCAAAGGTTTAGTTTTGTCAACTCCATGTTGTCCTGTTTCTAAGTTTTCGAGTCTGTCAGTGTTGTTAATGAGTGTGTTTTCTACAGCGTTATTTTCCTTGGCACCTTAATTTCCTTTGCTTCAAACTAAAATACGGTTTGTTTACACCCAAACAACATGTTCCCGTCCCAAGATTGATGAAATTGACCTGTTGTTGCCAGAAAAACAAACAAAATTCCACTTTTATTTCTACTGTGATAGTACGAATCGTAGTAGATCTTTTTATAGCGGAAAGTAGATGGAAACTAGAAAGAAAGAAATTTGCAATTCCTCAACGCGATGCTCTCTCGTTTTCAAGTAATGCTACCTCTAACAGGCACTATGTGTAATTCACTTACAGAAATCATTTGCTTTTTTCTCTAAATTACTGCATTTTGATCGTCTAGACCCGTTTCCATCAATTTATCGATTAAAAGATAAGGCAAGGTATGGACCCGTCTTGACGCTGGTGAGTCATAGCCGAGGCAAGCAAACCAGTTGTTTATTATATAAATAAAGCCGGTGTCCTCTTATTAATTTAAATGTTTATCTTATTCCTCGGAACATAACACTCACGCAAGAGGAAACCAAGAAAATTGGTTGACGACAGCAAGCGCTGCAGCGTGAAAGGGAAAATATCCGTTCTTGCTCAGCTACATGCGTAGTCAGCCAATCACAATTCATGCAATCATGATCAAGAAAATAAAAAAAAAAAAAGATGAAATTTAGCAAAAGCGCAGTGTTAATATTTGGTTACGATACAACGAAAACTTTCTTTCAATTCAGTAGCAATTGATTTCTATCGGGCAGAGTTATGTTATGCTGATTGAGATGCTTCTGATCAATAATAAAAAAGCCAGAAGAGATTAGCAGATTTTTGCATATTGTCATAGCTTTTCTAGTATCAGACTGAGTTTCCACATTAGCTAGCCTAATGGGTCGTGTAGTGGGTGTATGGAACATGTATGTTAATACTGAATTATTTAACAGTGTCAAACACTATACACATCTAATTGATTGGTTAATGGAATATTGACGTTTCAAAAACAAGACTTGCACGTTTCTAAGTCCACTTATAAAAAGACAAAGCGCTGGACTACTTTTAACTTTAAAAAGATGCGACAACTCTGTGAGTGGTTACTTGGCCAAGTATTTGTTTGTTTCGAGAAAAAGCTGTTTTGTAATCCATACTGAGAATGTATGAAGCACTGTTGTATACATGTATCCTGAGGGAAAATGGTTTCCAAACTTATGTAGATGTCAAAAATAAAAACAGCTGTTTCAATTTGCTTATTTCCGCTTCAATTTCCTCCAAACACACTCCTGAGAAACCTCGAGGGCCGCAGGTGGTTGAAGAAAGACTCTCCTCAAATCCTATAGATTCCTCAAGTCCCTATGCATTCCTGGTGGGAATAAAAACCAGTTCAGTTGTAGGGCTGGGAAAGAGCTAAAACTTGAGATCGTACCGTCGATTGAACTTGAAGTAAGTGAAACCACTTTTCCACCCGTCTAAATAATTGTGTATAGAATAACATAAGGACTGTACGAAAGTATCTTGAATTTATAAAGACTAGTATTCCTAGTGCCATTTATTGAACACATTAAAGCCAGCCAAAGCAGACGAATGCGAACATACATCAATACGAGGGGCTATGTAATTGTTATTTTTTGCGAACAGAAGCCATTCTTGTTTAGTCGCTCATATTTCTGCACGGTTCGTGTGGGCCAAACTGTTGGCGAAGATAGAAATTCAACACGACGATGGTAAAGGGACTCATAGACTAATAGACTAAGGGTACGCATGTAATTTTTGGCTTTCATTATTTTGGTAATTCGTCTATTTATCATACCCACCGCCGTGCCAATATTGAGGTTTGTTTCGGATCATTATCAGCAGCTGGGAACAGACCCTTATATAAAAGAAAAAATTTTTTCGTGCTCGTCTGACTTAAAATTTGAAATTACAATAAAATAAAATTCAAGCAAATTAAAAGTTTTTTTTTTCAGTTTTTCTGCACATTGCTATTTTGGAGACCCTGTTGGTTGATGTCGGTATTAAGTGTTTGGCTAGAGTTATATTTCCCACTGTAAAATTTATACCAGAATTACCTGCTTGTGCATGTCTTTTAAAGTAACAATGTAAAAATAAAAAAATGTGCTTGATCGTATTTTAACGTAGTAAAAGACGTGCTCTGTAGGACGACGTGACGAAAGCCTTTCAATTCGAAGAGGCATTCGCTGTTGTATGAACAGCTGCCACGTCCCAATGCGGCGAGTGAGCGATCGTACAAACATAATTAAGTCTTTCCTCGAAATACGTTGCTGGTGCTAGAAACAAATAAAAGAAAGTTTAATAGGTTTGTGATAAGGATTATTTTTAAGGATAAAATTTTGTTGCTTTTATTTAAGATTGGTGAATAGGATTGCATATCGTCGTGAGATCGTAATGTTGGTAACCTGAAGGAACTCAAAAGGTGTCTAAAGACTGTCGCGTTGTTCTTCTAATTTGTTCGACATATTATTTAATGAAACCTTAAATTATTCTATTTTTCTTGTGATTGTCAACCTCTTGTGCTGTAAAAATAAATACTGGTTTTTTTTTTCTTGTGTACTTTTTTCTTCTTTAAAGTCCAAACATCCGCATTCACTAATGCAGCAAGTAATGACGGATTTTTTATTTCTACAGAGATGTCAGTCAGATACGAGGTTAAGCTAAATGAAAATGAACAAGCTCCGTGACTGAATGTCAGAACAAAGCGAAATTATAAGGCACAAATTTAAAAAAGTATTTTACTATTCTTTATAGGACTAGAAACAATAATTATTTGAAATGAAAAGTTCAGTAATTTCAGAAAAAAGCACCATCTTTATCTCAATATGAAATGTTTATCTTATCTGGTCTAGGATCTCAAACAAATAAATAGCAGAATTTAAAAGACACGTATCAATCAAGATACATTCACCATATCTGATTCGAGATCTTGTGATCGAAACGGCCCATTGTATTGTGAATTATTTGCGCTGAAGAAAATCGAATTTCCAACTCTGAAACGAAAACACAATAGGTAGCTTTGATTCACCATTCTTAACCATTCTTCCCATTTTCATTTTTATATCCAGCCTTTCATTTAGGTAGATAGGGAAAAAATTAACATTGTGTTCAGCTTTGGGTTAATTTAATTTGTCTACGCTCGTTTTCATGATCTTTAGTGATCACCTTCTAGTTGCGTATTGAACTTCTTTGACTTATTAGTTAACCTTATGGTATAATCGACAGATATCGGCCTTAATTTAATACGTTGTTTAAGCATGAACGATGACCTTAGTTAACGCAACGGTCATTAACTTCTGGCGTGGACCTAACTGTTAACCCGGATGTTTCCTTACTTTCAGCCGCTTAAGTCTTTGTAAGCTGAATCATGGACAAGCACAACATTACTTTGAGGCCGAATGAAAGTCAGTTATGCTGTCAAAGTGATATTGAGGCAACCTTTTCCCTTGTCTCTGGCATTTCTCTTGTTGTCATATCGTTTATCACTATCGCTGGGAATGGTATGTTGTGCGTGGCCATATACAAGAACCCACTGAAACGTTTCCGTTCCGCGCCAATGCTCTTCGTAGCAAACTTGTCCGTTGCCGACTTCTTAACAGGCTCCATCGTGGATCCTTTGTACATTACTTACAACTTTGGCTTCAACCGAGCTAAAGACTATCAGGCCGCTTTAGCAGTAGGCGATCATGCTTCATATATTACTGTCAATGTTTCTCTTTGCACTGCGGTGGTTCTTGTCATCGACCGATTCCTGGCTTTGAAAACCCCCTTTCGTTACCGCAGATTCATGACGAAACAAAACGCGGTAGGAATCGTGGTCGTCTTGTGGGTCTATTCCATAATGTTCAGTTTCCTGCCACATATGGGTACGCACGACACTGTGTATTATTTGTTGGATCTACACATCCACGTCACTGGGAGCCTGTTCACTCTGACTGTTTTTCTCGTTCTTATTTATCGACTTTCTGTATTAACCAGAAATCAACGAGCGGGTATGACTGACTCAAGTCCTCAACTTGATCAGCGAGGAAGATTACGACTGGTCCGCGATAAGAAAACGATTTGCACCTTTTTAATCATCTTAGCTGTATGTTATATTTGCTTATTGCCCTACTACATTTACATGCACGTATTTCTGTTCTGTGCCTCGTGTCAGACAAGCTGGGTGCTTTTAGTTCTCAGCAAAATTTCTGAGCCCATAGTATACATGAACTGCGCATTGAATCCATTTATATACGCTTGGAGACATAAAGTGTTTCGGAAATCACTGAAGATTGCGTTCATGCCCAGCCAAATGAGAGTGAAACCAGAGGAAATGAACTCGCAGAGAACCTCAGGGATGTCAATCTTTTAGGTCCTGAACCCCGAGCTCAAAGAAAAGAAAGCTTAAAAGTTAAATTTATTAGATTAGTGCATGCTCCTCCGGCCTTTACACAAAATGGTAACCGGAGAGAAACAAGTCTCTTATTCCATCGCTAGTTTGAATTATATTTAATGTAATAAATCAAGACGTATGTCCCAACTTAGAAATAATCCGTTATGGTACGTTAAGTTCACCGTTAAGTGAAGACCAGTGGTACAGACTTAAGGCTTAATTCCGCTTTTTAAGGGAAATTCGATTCATTCATGGCTCTCCTGAGGTTATCAATTTCTCTCCAAATATGCAAAAACATCCTCTTTTTTTGCCAGATTTAGACTAAACGTGTTTAGGAATTACATATTTACCACCTACCTACGTCAGGTTCTGCTACTTAGATACGAACAGTACGTTATTCTCAGACGAAAAAAGCGTATTATATCTACAATTTCCGTCGTTTCGTATTTAATAGGATAATGACTTTCCTTTTTTGGTCGCAATTTTCTCAGGATTGTTACTTTCAGCCGAACTAACTTGTGTCGTGTTTACATCAATGTGTATGAAGTTGTCAATTGCTTTTAAATGACGCGGCAAATTAGTTAAAAATTTAATTGGGATTCGAAATTCGCCCTTCTTGGTATCGAGGAGATTAAATTTTTGTTCCATCGCTAGATTAAAGAAAACAGCATGCAGTGATATGTCATACGACGTTTATAATCTCTTTGACATCAATTTTTAACAGCTGCACAGGGATCCAATCCTTGGAATCCGACAAAGTTGTATTTCCGTGCGTCATCCCTCGATTTTGAAATGCAAACACGCACCTGTCCTGGCGGGGAATTATATTTCTATGCTTCCTAATTATATTCGAACGCAGACCCCAACTGCGAAGTATTTGTTTAAGTGCTCGACGATACTTTGGCATTGTCCAGGCGTAAAGAAAAGGGTTCAATCCTGAATTTAAAAACAGAATTGGCTCTGAGAACTTGCTTATAGCTTTTACTGCTGCTATTTCCATGCAGGACTCGCAGAGTAGTTCTACATGAAGCATTATGTAGATAGGCATCATACACGAGATAGCAACAACTAACAGTAGGAAAACGGTTCTTAGCAATTTTTTCTCTGATTTTATTTTAGTTTCCATCTTGTTGCGATTTGGCTGTCGTCTTGTTTTGCTATTGTAGCCTTGTGTTCTTAATGACTCTGTTAGTTGATGCCTGATAGTAAAATATATCGATACATACACCCCTATTAATATCCCCACAAGAAGGGTATAATTCAGATGCAAATCAAGCCAGTAAAAAACATCTTGAGGTAAACCCATGAAGCGAAGCATACTGAATAGCAGGGAGTAACTCCACAATAGAATGACAATTTTAAGGATGCAGTCGTGGTTCATCTTTCGCTCATGTGATAATGGATATTTTACTGCAATATACCGATCTAACGCCAGGGAAAGGATAGACAAAATCGAGGCGTTTACAAAAACATATGCAGTTGATTCCCCAATGACATATAAGGTGGTGAATTCCTTCTTCATGAAGTTGCATATTTCAAATGCTGCATATAAAGGTTCAGTTATCAAACCTGTGAGAAGGTCAGCAGCCGCTAGATTTACCACTAAATAATTAGCTGTACTTCTCAAGCGTCGATAGGGATCTTTGTAAATTGTTACACAGAGGAGGAAATTCCCCGTAACTGCCACGATACCAACGAGCAAATTTGTTACACCAATCAATAACGGAGTGAGTGGCAATCCTCCTGAACTTTCCAAACTATCAATTTTACCTGTCGCAGTAGTGTTCAAACCCATCTTAGCCACTTCAGTCGCCTTTACGACTCGTCTCGTACGTTTTAGAAAGTAAAACTTCGAAGGTAAATCATGTTACGTATATCGCCTTGTTAATGATTTGGCTTTCGATTTGACAGAAATCCCGTAGCTTCAAAAATCGCAAATCCTTTAAGTGCGGAAATCACCCCGGAGCCATCGCCGTCAATTTTCATTTGCTTTCAATAATGCAATACCTATTGAACTGTTTTCATTGGTTGTTATCTCATAACTAAATCTGAATGAATTAAATTTACCGATAACAATATAATGTAAAAGAATCATAGGTGACAGTTTCTGCTTGTTAATATTTCATTTTTACTCCATCCGCTACATCCTTATTATTGTAACATTTACAATCTTCCGTATTTTTGAAATGATGAAGAATCCTTTTAAAATTTTCGACCACAAACCATTTTTGCTGAATGTTTTAAAGCCATATGAAAAACGATTTTACAGAAAATTTTGCCCTCAGAAGAATCGTGGAAATAAGTATCGTAAACACTGCTATCACGGCTTCCAATATCGCATTGTTTTTGTTTGAATTAGAGAACATAAATTTACGAGTTCATGAAATAGTGTCACCTGAGAAACAAAAAATGAAAGTTTGCGACACGTGAAGTGCTAGAGCCTTTGTCAACATTGATGTTAGATATCTGATGGTAGTAAATACTCCTCCATCTTTCAAGATTTGCATCTAATGATGCGACAACAGTAATGTTGCTCGTAGAGGGGCTCAAGGCGTATCACTTGAGAAAGTAGAGGCCATTTTATACAAAAGAGAACGACAGAGCACTGAAATGTTGTCTACAGATATTTATCTCACATCAAGTTTCGGTCATTTACACTCGGTAGTCAAAACGTTACATCTTGCCACCTGACCGCTGACATACAAGAGTGATGTTAGAAGAAAAAGTTAGATGCTCCTCGGAGTCAGACGGTTAAAACTCAATGATAACAAAGAGTACGATGTGGAACTGCAAGGGTTGAAAGCAGTTATTTTGTTGTCCCACACTGCTGATAAACGTTAACATCAATTCGCATGGGTTCATTGAAAACTACTTGACATCAGAAAAACTTTAGGCAATAATATCAGGGGAAAAAATTGTAATGAATTAAAACATGCCAAAGCAATTCAGACACGCCTGCAGTATTTTGAACGTTTATTGTCACGAGTACAAGGATAGGCGAGGTTTCAGAAATTTATTATAAAAAGCAAATTATAAACTTCAATAGGTTTAACTTAAACAAGATCAAGAAACCGGTGCCTTAAAAATTCTATCTCTGACGCTTTTTGAATACGACAGTTAAGAAAAGATCCCAAATGAGCGGATGTACTTCTGGTTCCAGTAGAAATTAACCTCGAACGTTGCACTCTGATGGTATAACTAAATACTTCCTTATCTTTGTTTGAGCTGCTTGGTAGAAATCATTCCAGCTTACCACAGGTGAACCCTGAACTTCTTGGCAAGATCTGGCGTTGTCGAGCAATTCTTTTTTTCCAAAGAGTCCCAGTCAGACGAACCTCATCCCCTCTCTCTCTCTCTCTCGCTATGTCCCAAAGACAGTTTCTTTGGTTTTCCCCGTAGCTTAATTTCTCCTCCATCGCATTCCGAGCCAACCGGAATCGAGGTGCCATCTTTAAAGAGATTAATGGTACCTGGGTTTCCATTCCAGGTTACACAGACTTGATGCCAATGATGATCGTCAAGCCCCTCAACTTCTCTCGAAAAGCTGTTTTCAAAATGATGATATTTAAAAGGTTAGGTTTCTCTAACTTCGTTGACTGGAATTTGAAAGAAATGGGTCTTACAAAAGTATTTGTATTGGGGCTAAAAAGTTATTTATATACACTTACCAAAATGTAGCAGTCCTGATGTACATGAAAGTGTAAAAGCGTATTCCGCGATATCCTCCGCCGGTTAATCTAAGGTAAAAAACGTCGCCATAATTTGTTCGGAAATCCACCATGTTGATGTGTTTTGTGTCCCTTTTAAACTCCGCTGATTGAAGATTCAGCCATATGCAGATAGTAAACTGTGTCATATCATCAGGGACATTGGTTGGATTTATCATCATCATAAACAGAAAACGAGGCTTGTTGCAAGAAAAACGGATGCATGACTCATTCGCAATCACCGTTTGCTAATCGAGCAAAGCAATGCGTTTGCAGATAGAGACAGTTAGCGAAGTTATCATTATCAACGTCGTCTTTCTTACTTAACTAATCACTTACGACATGACACAGTGCGCTGAACAGACAGACGTTGCCCATATGAACTATGACCATTGTCAGTATCATACTGTAACACCCTTTTTATACGAGAATGGTGTGTATTTTACTGGAGGGGGATGGGAGTGGCGAAAGCCCAGTTAAGGTTTTACGTTATATGTTGTTGTTTTACACATTCTCAAAAGATAATAGATTTTGTCTAAAGCGGTTTTTCTGAGTTTGCAGTTTCCTGAAATGCTCATTACTAATAGCGCCCTTTTGAACCCAAATGTAGCGCGAACACTCTGTATATAAGGCGAAAAAAGCATAACTAGGGTTAGATTCTAGAAACTCATTCTGAGTGTTTGTTTGTCTGGTGATAAAATTTGGTAAAGACTCAATCATTTTAAACGAAAAACTGTTTCGACCCAACTTTGACCATAAAAGGAGGAGCACTCGTACAAAGTTCTCCTTTAGAATTTAAATAAAAAATTATGAACCGAATTTGAATTGATTTGAAATATTAAACAACAATGATAAAATTAATTAATAGTTTAAATATATGTTAAGTAGAACGTACGGCACGGTTGTCTATTGCACTCCTGTGTCTTCCTGGCTGCCCCAAGGTGTTTACAATCCTTCCCACCCC